GGTGGGTGCATGTGGGTGGCTCAGTGTGTTTAGTTTGTTTCATCATACCAGTCAGTCAAGTGAACACATACATGTCTATTCTAACATGATAGGATTCAAACATACAGAGCAGAACCTCTGTATGTGTGTGTCTTGACTCCTCTCCCTCCGCTGATCATTATTTTAGTCCCGAGCCACAGCTGTGCAGCGCTTTCAGATTATAACACGTACATACGAGGTGCAAGCAGAGACACATGCTGACACGCCCTCAGACAAGTGACTGACAACAACCTTGACTTCAGCAGAGCGTCCTCCACGTTATGTCTGATGGTGTTGATCTAAGAGACAATGAGGGACAAATCTCTGGCCGTTTAAAGGCAGAATGTAGAGAAATATAGGAGCAAATTATGAGAATTAGGTCAAACAATGTGTACAGTTTTGTTTTTTTTTTTAGGATTAATCAGACACAATCTGACTATTATTCTGCTGAAATAACTGTTGTGGTGCTGAGAAATGAATAAAACCTGTGAAAATAATACAGCAAAATGGCCTCCAGAAATATAAATATATACATATATCTTTATGTAATGTATTTATAAAAGACTTAGGGTGTGTACAGACAAGCAGCTTTCCATTTTTTCAAAAGTGCATATTTATGTTGAAACAAGACTCCAAACTTAACTGGAGCCCAAAGTCGCCGACAGTATTTTGAACCGTGAACAGTCTCGGTTATTCCTCCCCAGTGCACCTGAGATCTGCGGCCCGGTTCAGCAATTCACCATATCAGGGTCCGTCAGCGCCGCTCTACATGTGATAAGTCTGTCTTGCAAGACTGTCTGGATGTTTCTGCCCTGTTGGCTTCAGAGTACATTGTGAAATTGGATTGAGATGCACTCACTCTGCATACGATCAGTCTGCTGGATGGTCGCCGATCCGCTGTAGGTGGAACATGACTTCACAGCTAGTGCGATTTTTATTTTATTGGTTCATGTATTTATCACTGAGTAATGATGCTTTTCTGATTAATAATGCTGCATAGCCTTCCCATGTCAAAGGATTTATAAATGGAAACGCTCTCCACCCTAACACGCGTCTAAAAACACTTTTTCTAAACATCTTGCTTTCACACATCCTCGTGCAAAAACTATTTCCTTCCTCCTTTCAACTCTTTCTCAGGTGAACCCTTTGTTCTCTGGACCCCTGCTCTCTGTTCTTACTCACATTGTGTCTTTCATTTCTTTGCACCGTGTCAACTGAATGCATATTTGATTACGGCTCACGCCATCACCTTGCCCTGAGCTGTTTGCAAGGTGTCATGGGCGGCCACTGATGCCGAGCGAGGTGGACAGAAAGCTCCTGAGGGGGAAGTAGAGGGCGAGCTAGCCGGCCACATCATACCACAAGTTTTATAACGGAAGGCTGCGGATTAAACGCATGTTGAATCATGAGATACAGAATAAAAATGCAGCCAGCACAGGAAATAATTAGTGGATTCAGGTACAGCTGCTTGAGTAAATAATTATAATGTTTCTGTTATTAAATTTTACAATCACTGATTTGGGGGTGAAGTACATCAATATTTAGTTTAATTTAATTCTGTGAAATGCAGCGATATGTACACGTGAGAGACATTTTATCCCGACCTTATTTTAGCTCACACCGTCAGCCACAGCTTCACGAGTTAATTGTCACCAAATAAAAAGGCTTATATTTTAGCAAGAGCGCTGTTTCGGTCATATATGTGGTTCTCTGTGCTGCGTTCAGGAACGTTGGCAGCGTGGAGACGTCTGAACAAACTGTAGTGATTGAATAACTGCTCCTAATTCAGATCCAACTGGCTCTGTTTTCATGTTGTGTCATTTCCCCCTCCTGCTGATTTCCACCTGCTTTGAAGGATGTGCTCGGGGATTTGACTTCCTCCAAACCATACCATGCACGTTTCCTAAACAAACCGCATGTAGATTTATCCTCCGAACAAAAGGCTATTCCTGTGCACGTTGGAGGAATCCAGTATTCTTCAACATGGGCATGAAGCTAGGCTGCGATGCGTGATACGTACTGAGGAGACAAAAGAAAAACACTGCAGGACGTGGAAATAATCACACAATCTAGCAGTGTTTAGATGAGCATCTGTCAGCTTTTGATGTTGGTTCAGTTCTACATGATTCACAAGATAGTTTGCATTCTTTGGGTTTGCATTATCTAAAACTATTATCCTAGAGATTTGCTTTTCATATATCTTCATTAAAGGTTCAGTATTTGCTAGAACTGTTCTGAAACCCCTCTAGAGCCAATCGAAGCCTCTATACTTACAGTAGAAACAGCTATTCGTGCCGATGCAACGGCTTTAAATGCTGGAGCTTTCTTATAACATGCAGCCTTTGCACACACAGCGTTTGTGAATGTAACTTCTCCAAGGTGAGCAGAGACACAGTGAGAGGTGTGTCAGCAATCATCAAACGGCACAATGCAGTTTCTTTTTAAAGCCTTTATAAGTGCATTTGACATCTCACCACCCGCCTGCTTGTACAAGGCCAGTGGCTGTAGCTGCTGAAGCCTTCTTTGCTGTTTCAGCTTTCAGTTGGTGCAGATGCGTCCTCACAGAATGAAAAGCAACGGCTGATGGCTCTCTGTCTGTCTCTGCCTTTGTCTGTTGTTACAGGATAAGTTATTCACTTCATCTGCGCGTGGACTCATCTGTGTGCTTCAAGTCCTGATTGGATATTGTCTCTGAGTCTTGCAGATCACTGCAATCACTGACACATAATCATGCACTGTGTTTTCTTGTTGTTGTTGCCTGTTTGGTGTTGCTGTGGTCCACTTGTGTACACTTCCTTGACTCTGCGATGCCCTCAGCCTGGGACGACCCGGGGTGGACTGCTACTGTCAGCATGAGAGCGGAGCAGCTGTTCTTCAGCTCCAGTTCCTCATCAACGAGGTAAGCCACGATCCATTACAACGCCTTCTCAGCACTTTTAAATCTTCTCTATTACACTTTGGAGACCTGGCATAGCAGTGACAGCTTCATTTGTTCTTTATTTTTAAATTTAATGGATGTTTTTTTTTTAACCTAGACCTAAACATTTGCCTCAAAGTGTGCATTTTGTGTGAGTGAATGTAGCTGGTCCACTACTAACAATAACTAAGAGGACATTTGTTCCATTGTTGTCCTATTTTATGGGATTTGTTTTGATAATGATGACATCAGATAAAAGTTTCAAGTAACCCCAGCATCATCCTTTAACATGCACTGAGACTATTTCTTCTATTATCTGAGTTTTATTTGAGCAAATTGGGCAAATATAGCTCCTCTTTAAGGCACATAAAAATTAATCGCTAACAAGTTTCACAGAATTGCTGAAAGATGCAGCGTGGAACCATCAGACTCTTTCCACCTGGTGTTGCTGGTTCATGGTTTGTTATTTACCACTGCTAACCAGGAGAGTCCCACAAACCACATTACTAGAGAGTTCAACGAGGCCAGTAAGAAATCTTGGTGTGTTCCTATGTTTTATTATCCAACCAGATTTGGAGTAACTCTTTATTAAAATCAGCTCCACCCCGACACGTCACACTGTTGCTCAGAAAAGGTGAAATCCTTGCAGAGATGAGTGGAAGCAGGACTTCACTTGGACTGTTATTGCTGGATTTCACTTGATCGTTGATCGCCGGTGCTGCTGATCTGCATGCTTGTGCACGCCTGATGTAGTTTAGCAGCTTGTGGTGAAGCTGTTATTACCAGTGCTGCGTATGGAGACGTTTGGTGAGGCAGCTGAAAGGATAAACCTGTTAACTATCACATGACCTGTCGCTCTCTGAAGTCTTTGAACGAGCCGGCGTGCCTTTCAGCGAGACGCTTTGCCGGGTTGGACGCGTCGGCTCCCTCCGACTCAGTTAGGAAAACGTTTGCAGAAGGGCTTCGCTGGGCCCTGACTGTCAGCTGTAAGCAAAAATAATGCCGCATTTCGCTTTGAGCTTCTGCTTTGTGGACAATCTACGGACGGTCGACAAGAGCGCTCGCATTCGTCACCATGAAAGCAGCAGTGTGGTTATGAGAGGAAACAAAAAGCAGTTGGCGTGGCCATTGTGCCTGCAGGGAGTGGCAGGAGAGCTCTGCACACACACACACACACACACACACACTATCCCACTATCCCACCGTCATGCATTGAGGCAACTCATAGAAAATGCAGCTTCTATTAAAACACTCTAAAATGATGGTGGCTCATATAACAGGGTACTGAGATACCGCTCTAGCATCGGTGCACCATGCATCACCACGTCCAGCACACTGACTGCTCACTTACTGTCAAATACATCCCGTATCTCGACATGCACAGCTGATATGAGGTATTCTCTTCATCTGTGAGCAGTCATAATGATTTATTGCTTTATGTTTCCCATGCTTAATGTTGTACAGTAGCTAGAAACTAGTTGAAAAGAAGCCTGTCTACAATTCATAGAAAAAAATCTCACCTTTTTTGGGGGGAAACATGGTTGTAAGGATTTAGAGATAAAGAGAACCATAATCCTGCAATTGGGAGTTTTATTGGAACCCCTTGGGGCATGTGATTACCCAAATGATGAATTAAATTACACAAAATTGTATTTGATGATTTCGCTTTTCAATTTAATGACCGGAGTAATACTTAAAAAGTCCTTTTTTACAGAAACCCAAGTCTGGGGAAGTGCACGCCGGCGCACATGGATGCTCGGTTCATAGCATCCAGTCCTGGAGTAGCACCAGTTATTAACTCTCCGTGGTTTCGTCTGAAGCTGCTGATAACATAGATTTGCCTGAACTATAACAGAACTCTTTTGAAAGGGAACAGCAGGAGCCAAAACACTGTATAATTAACTGTTTTAATTAAGGATCATTATGATCATTACTAGCTGAAGGACACGGAGGTTTTCCTGCTCTGCCTCTAAAACCATTTTACCTCGCTGCTCGTTTTTTTTCTTTCTAGCGACAGACAACAAGCGTGTGGGCTGACACCTGGCAGCTCTGTGTCAAGTGGCTGATTTTAGGACTTTAACAACAGTTCCATGCCGTATTTTGAACAAAATACTCTGAGCAAAAAAAAAAAAAAAAGGCTTGGTGTTAATTAAAGAGCAGGAGCCGGGTCACACAGTTCTCACACATGAAGCTGCTTTAACTTCTCCTTTATTCTGCTGTAATCGCTCTCCCCTCCCTCTCGCTTTGCTTTTCTCTTCCTTTACCCACTCCATTTCTTTTTAAGCCCACTGGCTCTTTCAGCCCACTTCTCCATCACTCATTGGCCTACTTGTGATGTGTCTGAGGCAAATGGAGGTGGATGGGCCTAAAGAGGCGTGCGTGTGTGTTTAGTGCGACAGGTACGGGCTTTGTATGTGCATGTACCTGTGTGTGTGTGTGTGTGTGTGTGTGTGTGTGTGTGTGTGTGTGTGTGTGTGTGTGTGTGTGGGTCTCAGTGCCCAAATGTTTTCACAAGAGTGCAACAGTGTGTGTTCAGTCGAGAGTGTGCGACGGTACGTGGGTTCAAGTGCATCTCTTTAAATTGGTGGATTTGTAAAAACGTGCATGTTTGTGTGTATCTGCTTGTCTTTGCTGCTCTTGCATTTTAATTCCTGAACTTTCTCCACCCAGTAGTGTGTCTGCATGCGCTACACATGGGCGGACACACTCTCCAGCTAGTCCTTCCTGTCAACAGACTCAAACGCTGACTGTAGATCTTGTCATCCCTTGACTGGCTAATAGCAGCGCTGTATGTCAGAGCCCTCTCTCTCTCTCTCGCGGGTTCATTGTGTGGGCTGCTGGTCGCCTTGTTAATGGCTTGCATATTCAGACTGGCCTCCTGACACTCAGTGAGGTGGAATGACTTCTTCCTATTAGATGTACGAACCCACAAATGAGACCACTTCTTGCAGGCACCTGTGAGTGATGTACATTTGCTTGCATTTAAAATATCCACCTTCTCTCCGTCACACAGAAACCACACAGTTCAGCACATGTGGTGGTCAAGTGTTTTATTGTACACTCATAATCTCACATGAGGACACCCTCGTAAGCAGCTCGCTCGTTATCTTACCAGGAAAAAAACCTTATTTTTGTGTCACTGTCGGTGGAAAGCATGAATAGGCTAATTAATGTGTTTGTTTCCTGGTTCTGAATTCATTATTTTGCTGGATGAATAATACATCTTAAGAGGCTGAGGGAGACGATGGTGAAGGTTCGCTGTCAGAGCAGGTTTAGAGGTGGGCTGGAGCGTAAAGATGGAGGACGGCTCAGGAAAGGAAGAGGTGATGGTTTGGCTAAATGGAAGAGTAGGTCATCTATCTATCTATCTATCTATCNTATCTATCTATCTATCTATCTATCTATCTATCTATCTATCTATCTATCTATCTATCTATCTATCTATCTATCTATCTATCTATCTATCTATCTCAGGCTGGACTGACCAATACTGAAAGAATGTAAAATATTCCTGTTTTTCATTAATTAAAAGGAACAGAGACTCTATTTTCTACCCACTTTTTCATTTGCTGCATTGATGAGGTACAAAGCCGTGTTAGAAATGTATTTAAAGGTCAACTTGAGCTGGAAGATTGATTATGTTTTTTAACACTGGCAGAGAAATGTGGTGCAAAGAAAGTGTCGTCATTATATGTTTAAAAAAAAAACACTTGCAGATTGACTTTCCTGTGCAAAGTTTCCAACACCCGAGAAGTCCTAAAAATGGGTCTCATCCCTTGATTAGTCTTCAAATTAACTTTTTCCAGGAGAGGAGGACGTAGAGGTGGATGATGATGAGGAAAACAGACGCGTTATAAGACAAGCAGGTGGCCAGACACACATCTCATTAACCTTTGACACGAGCCAACAGGACCTCAGTTTGGAGAAAGAAATGAGCTCCCTGCAGCTGAAGCTCCTCTTTTCCTAGAAATGAAAATGTTCAGGGATGTTTTAGGTAGCGCCTGACTGATTTATCGGCCGGTGATTTTCTAAGCCAATGTATTGGCCTACCACAGATACACTGGTATATATATATATATATATACAGTCTTACATGAAAGGTTAATTTAAAAGAACATTATGCAGCAAGCAAAGCAGTAAACAGCTTCAGGGTGTACTGCAAAGCAAGTTTGACAAAGCCAGGCTTTCTTTGGGTGAACTAGCTTTACGAAACCTAAAACCCCAATCAGAGGGAGTCAGGACACTGGTTTTCTACTTTCCTTTTTTTTTTTACCCAGGTTTTCTTTACCAGGCTCTGTGCAGGGGTTGTTCAGCATGTCATCTGACCCTTCTTTCACTGAAAATGGACCGATGTGTTCCACCTACTTCAGTCAAGAGGAACAGGTTGTTATCATGGAGAGCTGTGAGGAACATTAAAAATGATTTCAGTGGAGTGTTGTTACTGCAAATGCTGCAAGAGAGGAATGCTGTCAGTGTAATATGTACGGTACTATGTTTATTCTGTGCACTCCTAATGCAGCTGCTTATTTCTAACACAACATCTGCACATTAGAGACCATGAACTATATATTCATTTTAACATAATGCTGAAGAAGTAGGGCTGACACTGGCCTATAATGAAGGATTCACGGACATCAAGTTAGTTTTGGGTCACATTAATGTTATTGATTGAATAAACTCGGGAGTAAATACAAATGGACGAACCAATTTCTTTCTAATCTGCGTTTTATTTGCTGCAATAACAGCACTGTGTGAATCAGACTCGGCAGCAAATCAGGACGAAGTACATAAACTAATTTATGCATTTTCTGCATCAGTAACTGGATGCACAATGTGGAACTGAAACTCAGAGTGAAAATGTTCAGTAAAAGACTCATTACAGCTTCATACCAAACTGTCCTCTGGAGCAGGTTAGCTGCGCAGCATCTGTTACCATGGTGATTTAGCAGGTTAGCTGTGCAGCATCTGTTACCATGGTGATTTATCAGGTTAAGGGTGGTGCGGACTTTAGCGGTCTCTTTACGGTAAGCTACCATCTAATATATTGCTGGAAACCAATAAAAATGACCCTGTAATTTCTCCTGACTCTAACATAGCCGTCCCTGATAACTGTCGCGCCATTCATGCCTAAATTACATCCGTTTGCCGTGTTAGCGGATTAGCTAACCGGCTATAGTTCGTCATTAGCACAGTGGAGCGTTAGCATGGGAGCGTCTGTTCCCGTTAACTTCGCAGCTCAGCAGGTGACGGCGCGGTGGTGGATACTGACATCTCCTAGTGGTTGATAGGTAATGCTGGAAAGTGATAAACAGTGTCTCTATCGGTTTACTTCCCTGGGAAAACCGCTATATAACACAGAGTTGTACTAGCTTGCTAGCTAGCAAACCGCGTAGCTGCATTCACAGCTCGTCAGTTGAGTGGGAGCTAAAGTGTTAGCATCAAAGCTAATGCTAACGCTACATGCATAACCTTCTTTACAAAACTGTAGCACGATATTCATTCATGATGTGCCTGATCTTCAGAGTACTATTTACCCTTTTCAGCTTCTATCATTTGAGCTCTATGGAGGACCTCAGGGAGTTGTCTGGACATTAGCATCAGTCCACACTCTGCCTGACATATTGATTAATTAGCCAATAGCAGTTACTGCCATGAGTGTTTAATGAGTGTTATTGACAGTGATGTCTGTCATCTAAATCAATACAGAAGTACAAAATATGATAAAGTCTGTGGGCCTGAAGAACATGATATGAGTGGAAAACATGAAATGCATCTCTCTCTTGTTTTGCCTTTTAAAACATATAAGCTTATTTCATTAGACCTACATTAGGTGAAGATAAATAAGCACATCTGTGTCCAGTTTCTAGTGATTTCTGTTGCACAGTCTTCTCTGATTGCCATTTCTACCCATGCTGTGCGCCGTCCCTGCACCTGGTCACCCCTGCCTTTGTTGCCGTCAAGACATCAAGATAATTCTAGCATGACAGGCAGGCCTTCACCCCGTCTGCCTCGCTCGCTGTCTTCTCCCTCTGTCTGCTATGATTTCTTCATTATACCTGCTGCTCCATTTCTCCACTGCGTTCTGCCTTATCGGTGCCGGCGACAGAAAAAACAAAGTGCACTGGAAGCACCTGGAAAGAAATCTTCAAAACAATCTTTTGACATTTGTACAGTGATTAATGATGCTTTAGAAGTGAAATATAATGCAGTTTTTATTGTATTATCTACATTTTGATCCATATGATCAGCTCTCAGCAGTTAGTTTAGATTTATCTCCATGTGCATTGTATACCTATCAGCCAGATAGCACACAATTTATTAAATTGTCAAATGCTTTTACTGTGTTAAATGTCTGTCTCTGAAGAAACAGTAAATCAAACCAGCACATGTCGACGTGCTTTTTGAACTTAAATGCATGCGTGCATGAAAAATAGCTTTACATAAGATGGTTCCAGCCCTCCCCGAAATGATCTTACCCGTGAATGTTGGCACATTACAAGAATTACTTTAATTTGTAGACGCTGTTTTACGGCAAAATGGAGCGTAAGTGAATGGGAAATTAATAATTCCACCAATATAAAAACAGTTCCAATCCCACCAGGGTGCAATTCTATTACACGGTAAGACAGGAAGGAGTCAAATTAAAAGAAACACTCTTGATAAGGTGAGATTATGTAAAAAAAGAAAGACAAAGAAAACAGAGTGAGAGATGCTCTAATTTTCAGTATGCGCCAGGTGATCATGATCATCACCAGTCAGATTTAACATGAATCAGCAGCATCATAACCTGGTTTATGGAAACAAAACAGGAGGCAGTGGGTGGAAAATGCTTGAATAATTATGTTGCTCATTAATTCTCTCCTTCCTGATGACTCATTTCTGAACAGTACATTTGTGTACGAATTGTTGTCATATTTTTAAGTGAGACGTAAAAGTCAGAGGCAGCAATAAAAACTTTGTTTATATGTTATCCTCATGAATGAGGGTTTTTAAAAATATTGTTTTACTGTGTGGCTGTAGTTTATTCTTTTTTTTAAAAATAACAATAATTACATTTATGCTGTATTTGTTTTTAAAACTGCAGAAGACACAGACATTGTTTGCTGTGCAGAGGACAGACTCAGTGAATGGTCGGAAAATATCACCAAACTGGAAATCAGTGGGACGCAGTGTTGTCATCCTCCTTCGCAAAGCGCAGCAAAGTCGTTAATCCCATGATTAAGTTTGTAATCTAAAGCTAATTCTCTTCGGGCTCCAGTCCTTACAGTGACCCCTTGGTAGCAAAGCCGCACAGGGACTTTCACTGTAATTACAATTCTCCTCCTCAGAAGAAGAGGACGTCATCGTGAGAGGATTTACTATTTTCCTTTCACACTCTACACTCAGTTTCATGTAATGTGTGTGTTAGCACAGCCAGGAGGATGTGAAATTAGACTTTTTTTCTTTTCTAGTGAAACAGTTGCTTAAATGTTTGCTGGCTCATTTCTGTCGACCTTTGGAGATTTGGAGTGTGTGTAGTTAAGGGGGGAAGTGGAGCAGGTTTTACTGGTCTACTGGTCTACATGGAGTGTTCACTGGTGGTATTTAGCTGAATTATAACTGCGCTGCAAACTGGATTATATCAGGTCATGTTTGCAAATGAGAACTGGTTCTCAAACATTTTTACCTGGTAAAATAAAAAAAAACAAAAAAAACAAAAAGCTTCAATTGCTGCATTTGATATGTTGTATAAATGTCATCATGTTGTTTTGGCTGAATGCTCTTGTGTTGGTCCTAAAAGGCAGCGAGTCCTCTGTGTTCCCTGTTAGGATTCTGTATTGACCTGTCTTTGCTCTCTGTCCTTTAGGGGGCGCTGGTCACGGCCTGTGCCGATGACACGCTACACTTGTGGAACCTGCGCCAGAGGCGGCCGGCTGTCCTGCATTCACTCAAATTCAACAGAGAGAGGTAAGCCAGGATTCCGCTCAATAAAGCACACACAGACACACACGTCTGAACACACACACGGGGGTACACACTCACACACACCGTGCACACACACTCCACGCTGTGCCGCAGTGAGAGCTGAACGTCTCAGGTTGGTGTATTCCATGTTGGATTGGTGGAGCGCAGTGTTGTTGCACATCTGGTCCAGGGCCTCTGGTCTACCTCCGACTCCCTGCCTGACCAGCCTGACCTGGTAGCTCTCTGTTCCTTCTCAACTAAACAACACCTCTGCCCTGTGGAACACCTTCTCCACCACAGGCTGTGAGACCTCCAAGGTATCCAAAACCATCTCCTTTGACATGCCGCTACCCAAACCCTGGAACCACACTGAACAGTTTTACATGGTTGTGACCAACTGGTATGACGCTGGAACTGGTGGAACATGATGCTAATGAGTCGGTCTGTGGTGACGGTGGACGAGTGGCGTCTCATAATAACAACCTGTAGTGACGAGAGTTTATGTATTTTTTGTAGATTTATTGTTGGACTATTTGCCTTGATTCAGTCGGACATTACAGACAGACAGAGAGCATCGGAGTGGCATGCAGTAGATGCTGTAGCTTGCTGGGAGCTGAACTGGGGATCCACTGTTCAGGGCTCATGTCCCCATACGGCAGATGTAGCCGAGTATCATCGCCTCAGAAGTTGTGTCTTGCAGGTATTTTGCTTTTGCCCGCTAGCTAAGGCTCTTCCTAGAATACCTAAGTTCTGATTAGGTTGGGAGGAACATGACCACTGCAGAAACCTGGCAGACTAAACCCAGTGAGTTCGTTCAGAAGAAGTCTCTCTGTTGTTTATTTTATTTTTGCTGGAAATTTTAAAGATTCTTGCAGTTTCTATACTGAGACTTCTCTTTTCTCCTCTTCCCTTAGGCAGACATATTATCATGTATGTCTGTTTGACTTGATTCTATACCTCCTTGTCCTCAGCCAGCTGTTTTTTCATCCAGCTGTCCCAGCCCTAGCTTTGTTTGAGCCCATTTCCTATGTAGGTTAGGAATCTGTGAGATGTGGTGTTGAGCTTCGGCTCGGCTCTTTGCTTCTTTCCTCGCAGCAACACTTCGTCCTCTTCTCTCCGCCATTAAACTTTAATGGCTAACAATGGGCTCGACTTGCTGGTGCTCGATTTTAGGAACTTTCCCCCCTCTTTCCCTTTTTACAAAAACCTCTGGGGCCTCAGGTTCTACACAGAAGTGACTCAGTTGACAAAAAACAGCGCATTTGGTTGACCTAAATGGGTGCAACATCCCCAGTGCCCCACCTGAGCATCTTCAAAAACAGGTTACTCAAGGTGCGGCTGTCCACTGCAGCTCTATATAACCTGCAGTCCACCATTTCTGTCTGCAGGGAAAAACAGCACTGCTGTGTGCTGAAGGGAGCAGAGCATTTATTGCACTGCTGCTCTTCTTACTATGTCCTAGTAGGGTTTAAGTTATTATAAGCTATGCTTTTAGCCCTATTTCCAGGTAGAGCTCTCTAATTCAGGATGTTCTGGGCATATCATTATAGGTTCAGCTTTAATAGATGCAATTTCAAACCCCTTACTTTCTTTGGTGAGTTCATCAAGTGGATGATTCAGGCACAGTAATGTAGTGTTGTGAGGCAGAGAGGACGAAGAAATAAGGTTTAAATCCAGTCCATTCTCATCATCTGCTTCCATGACAGTAGCTCGTATGTCTGAGCTGTTCAATCAGGAGGAGAAACCTCTTATGCAGGACAAAGACAAGAACAATGATTGCATCACCTGCATGCTCATAAATATCCAGCATTCACCTGCTCCCACACGTCTTATATGACTCTCTGTAACAGACTGAGCTGCTGTATGTTCTGTTGTAGTTTTCTGTTCATACCTGGTCTCTCTGTGATAACAAAAAAGAGCTTCTGATTCCACAGCAAGTGGTTTCTACCTGTGGGTCAAGGCCGAGGACATTTAATGAACCCAACTGAATCTGAAACTGAATCCAGACTTATTTTATTTTTTGTGCAAAGTTTCCAGGCTCACAGTGTCAATACCAGTCTTGCCTTAGACGAGTACAAGTAAAAGCAAACTCACTCTGCTCGCTTTTACAGGCGAAGAACTTTGTCTGAGTCATGGGGCATGTTTTCTCTCTGCTGAAACTTTCCATCACAAGAGAGCAATAACCTGTCTCTGAGAGACGGAAGAATCTCGATCCTGCTATAAAAAAGCACATCATAAAACCCAACACTCCGGGGTACTTTCATAATGCAACAGAGCCTTAAAGGATAATGGGCTGGAGGAGTTTTCTAACATCCATGTGCTGTCGGAAACTTTCACAACAGGCTTCAAGTCGTCAGTCTCTGTGTGTGACAACAACTAGACAGTTTTCATTTCCTTTTTTTTCTTGTTTTTAAACTAAATCTTATTCAAATTTAAATGACTTTTAAACTCAGGAATAATTGAATCTAGAAACTCTGAAGTACTTTAAGATAGCAAATGGTTACCAGTGCTGCCTTCGATGTAGACATGGTTCCAGTCAT